TGAAAGATGTGTGTACTCAGTTTCGCAAGCCTTTTGCGCACACGGTTGTCAAAGGTGGGTGGAAGAAGAGATCGATTTTTTTTGAATTGCCATATTGGAAGTCTCTGTATGTGAGACATTTTATCGATGTTATGCATATTCAAAAAAAATGTATCTGAAAGTGTTATTGGTACGTTACTCAATATTAAAGGAAAGTCTAAGGATGGCCTTAAAGCAATGGAGGACATGTTAAAGATGGGAATACGAACTGAACTAGGACCCGTGAAGAAAGGAAGCCGAACATATCTACCACCTACTGTTTTTACTCTATCTAGAAAGGAGAAAAAGATATTGTGTAAGTTTCTAAGTGAAGTTAAAGTTCCAGAAGGATACTCTTCAGATATTAGAAGACTTGTGTCTATGAAAGACCTCAAGTTAAAGAGTTTAAAGACACATGATTACCATGTTATAATGGAGCATTTTCTACCAATAGGTATATGTCCTATTTTGCCAGATAATGTAAGGAGTGCGATAACTAAGTTGTGTTTTTTATTTAGGTCAATTTGTATTAAGGTGATTGATCCTGATATCTTACTAACATTGCAAAAAGAAATTGTTATTACTTTGTGTGAGCTTGAAATGTATTTTCCTCCCTCATTTTTTGACATAATGGTACATCTAGTTGTTCATCTTGTGAAAGAGGCACAGTTGTGCGGCCCAATTTATATGAGATGGATGTACCCTGCTGAACGTTATATGAAAGTATTAAAAGGGTACGTGAAAAACAGAATTCTCCCAGAGGGTTGTATTGTTGAGCGACACATTGTTGAAGAAGCGGTTGAGTTTTATACTGAATATTTGTCCAAAGTTCAATCCATTGGACTCCCCAAAAGTCATATCTTTGGAAAAAAGGCAGGTAAAGATTAATTGGAAATAAAATTGTGACAATATCAAAAGATGAACGAGATCAAGTGCATCTGTATGTTCTGCACAATGACAGTGAGGTTGAGCCATATGTTGAAATGCACAAGGATATAATCCGAGGGTTAAATCAGAATAGAAATGAAAATTGGATATTACGGGAGCACAATCAAAGTTTCATACCGTGGTTTAAGGATCATATTTTTTCAAAGCTTCATTCAGATCCCGCTTCAGTAACAGAGAGGTTGAGATGTTTGACATATGGTCCAAGTTTTCATGTGTTTTCCTATAGCTCATACACAATTAATGGATACACATTTTATACCAAAGAGCAAGATGATAAAAGTACTATGCAAAATAGTGGTGTCACCGTGCTTGCTGAAGCAATGCACATTTCTAGTATGAAGGACCTAAATCCCAAATATGCAAATCTGTCATATTTTGGAGTTATCGAGCATATTTGGGTGTTTGATTATGAGAAGTTTCAGATTCCTATCTTTGGTTGCAAGTGGGTAAGTAGTGGTGGCATACGAATGGATATGTCAGGATTTTTGCAAGTGGATCTTCATAAAGAGGGGTACAAAGAAGAGCCTTTTATTCTAGCCTCTCAAGCTAAACAAGTGTTCTATGTCACTGACCTGGCGAGTACAAAATGGTCTATAGTGCTTTTTTCTAACAAAGTGGTTGATGATAACGGTGTAGACCAAGGTGGTATTGATGATGAGAATGAGTCATGTATTAGACAGAATGAGTCGTATATTATAAATGATCAAGATAAGAATATTATAGCGGATGAATCATATATTAGAAATGATCATAATGAGGAAATTTGGATAAATCCATCCGTCCGCATTGTTAAGAAGCAAGTAATTCTTGTTCCAACCAAGAAAAGAAAGAGATGTTAGTGAAAGAGGTAAGATATTAAAATGTTTATGTTTATGTTTGTGTTTACATTTAAGTTTATGTTTTTGTTAATTTTTGGCATTGTCATTTTATATATATTTTTTGGGGTATATCCTGATATATATTCGTATTTTCTTTCCATGTGTAGTGTCCTCGCCAGCTATTCTTTTGGATCGATTAGAGATTCCATCCACGTTATGGATTTCTAACTTAGGAATTACATATTATTTTCATATTTTGTGTTTCTCATAAAATGACATATTGTTTTTAACTAAATCACATACTATGTTATATTATTATATATATATATATATATATATATATATATATATATATATATATATATATATATATATATATATATATATATATTACTTTGAGGAATTCAATTGTGCACATTACTCAAAAGATCAATTGGATGAACTTATGGACGAATGGTGTCAATTCATTATCGGGTTGAGAATTTTATAAGCTAAGGTATATTGTCTTATTTCCTTTGATGAGAAATTTTGAGTTTTGAGTATAAATTAAATTCGAATTAATAAAGTGAAACATTAATATATATTATCATATTATGAATTTCGATCATTTGGTTTTTTTTCCAGGTTTATAGGTACATGTGTAGAAGATAGAGCTAGGATATTCATGTTGTTGTTGTTTCATGAGAATTCTCGAAGATAGAAAGATGTTTAGATGTAAATTCAATTTTGAATATTTTAGGCATTTTAACTTGTATAATTTTAACTTGTATCATAAATTTTATAATTGTTGTTGTCTATATCATCAATTTATACATATGTGCAATTTTTATATATGTATATTTTATTGGAATGAAGCCACCGAATATGGAGCATAAAAGATAATTCTGAAAACCTGGATCAAAATATTGGAATGAAGCAACCAAATATGATAAAAAATCTGATTAAAATAGATAATTTATTAAAAAAAAATTGTAAACAATAGACAGCGCTTTAGGAGAAAAGCGCTGTAAAAAGTTAAAAAACAAAAAGCGCTGCCTAAAGTCTGAAAGCGCTGTCTAAAGTGGGGGAATAGACAGCGCTTTCAAAGGAAAGCGTTGTCTAAAGCCTATTTGGAAAAAATTAAAAAGCGTTGTCTATTTTAAAAGCGATGTCTAAAGTGGACATGAGGCAACGCTTTTACGTTGAAAAAGAGCGTTGTCTTTTCTTTTAGCAGCGCTGTTTTAGGCAGCGCTTTAAAGCGCTGTTAAAGGCCAAAAAAAGCGTTGTCTTTTCCTTTTTTTTGTAGTAGTGTCTGTCGCCTAAGAAAATTCTTCGTAGTTTGAAGTCTATTTTGAATTAATTTTCAAGAGAACACCACAACTTTAGGCAGAGTCATACTATTCTAAATCCTAGACAACCCCTCACCACCCTCTAAGACATATCTTCCCTGACCCCTTCCAGAGCCAGTTGGTTGTCATAAGTTAAACCAATTGAAAAACCCCTAGTCGGGTCAAGCTTCCTAACATAAGCTCTACCATATCACATCTAACTAAACCCGTGATGAGAACAATCAAACCCTCAAAAGACTCTTACGCCTTGACATGGAAATGCCTTCTCCAACTAAAGCTCCAAACCCAAATATCACTATCTCAATCTCCCAAGGAACCCCCAAACTGAGATTTCTATTCCGAGATAAAAAATCTTTCAAAAGAAATACACAAAGGGCTAGACCCAACCAAATATCATGAAAACTCATTCTTCATGTCGTCCCTAACCTTTCTCTCTTAGGAAGAGACGAACCAGTCAAACACCTGATCCGATGAGAACCCAAGAAGTTAAACATCTTTCCACCAGTGATACATCTTCCAGAGAGACGATAAATTATGGAGTATCCTCCACTCCACTTACTACAAAGTGCATTATTAACTAGTCTAAGATCCTTAACACCTAAACCTCTTGTCTTTTTACCTTTACACAATCTTCCTCTCGAATTCAAAATATCCTCCACCTCCATTACTAAGAAGTGTAAGATTAATTAGCCCAAAATCCTTATCACATAAACCTCTTGCCTTTTAACATAAGATTTTACCATTTTTTTAAACTTTAACCCATTATAAAACTACAAATAAGTAATATACAAACATTATATTTTGTCTCAAGAAACTGACATTCATTACCATATTTTAGCAATGATTTTGATTTTTTTTCTCTTTTTCTAAATCAACCCAACATTAACTCTAAGGTTATTTTATACCTTCTTGGACATACATAAAGTGTCATTTTTCTAATGTATGTTGTTCTAAACTTTTAATCAATAACATCTATTAAATTATTAAAATTTAACTATAATTCTAATTATTTTTAACATGTGATAGTGTAATTTGTAAAACTTTTTTAATTTAAAAAATACTCTTTCTCTTTTAAAATATTGTCGTTTAAAGTTTTTTTATATAATCTAAAGAATTTAATGATATTGTCATAAAACATTATATTTTTATAAAATTAACTCTATTAATATCTTGAAAATATTGTATAGAATAAAAAATAAATAACACAATTAAAAAAATAATAATTATTACTATATTAAAAAGTAAAAACGATACTAATTTAAAAAAAAAAATTTATTCGTTAAAACGATAATTATTTTAAAATACGATAATTATTTTAAAATAGAGAAATATTAAAGTTAAAAATAAAATAGAAAAGAGAATGCATGTAGACACATGACATGAGAGGAAAGGATATGTCCAAGAAAGCTCCCAACCCAACACATTGATAACAATAATACTATTACACATAAAATGAACAGAACACTCACTCCCCCACCTCTCCCTTATTCTCTCTCTTCTGTTTCTCTCTCTTCCTCTCTCTCACTCTGTGCTGTCTGTCTCTCAACCTAAAAATCGCTGTCTGTACCTATCATCATATCAGTACCATCCTCTCTTTCTGAATTCTCTGTCACCATGAGAGTGAGAGCCAAACTCCTCTCATCCTAAAATCCTCTTAAATCAATCAATGAATAAATAAATCTTTTCCTCTATATACTCTTCTCTACTTGTGAGAGAAATAAAGAGAGAAGTATATATACATATATAGATATAAGAGAAACAGAAACAGAAAGAAAAATGACCCTTTTAAGCTATCTATATTTTTATAGCTATAGCTTTGCATGAATGATTCTATCATCATCACTACTACCAATAATATACCATATCCTCTTTTTCTTCAACTTCTACCATGGATTTTCCACCTTCTCACACTTTCATCTTTCAAACTCATGAAGATCATCATCATGATCAACTTCATTCATCTTCAACCTCTCTCAACTCTTTCCCTTCCTTTCCACCTCATCAACACTTTCAAGGTCACACACAAAATCATGGTTTTAAATTGCAGTTACGGTCGCAATCAGAGGACTTCAAAATCCTTTATATTGCGACCTGTATCATAATTTTAAACCATGACTTCAACATCTTCTCTATTTTTTTATATATGAATTTTTTCTAAACAAAATTTTCACAAGTTAATGGTTATGTTGATATTTAGGGTTTGAACTCTTCCATCTTAAAATTCCAATAATAATTTTTTATATATTTTTATGTTTATTTTTGTAGGTGGTGGTGCATCTTTCATGATGAAGAGATCCATGTCATTTTCAGACATAGAGAACAATCATAATCATAATCACAATCACAACTACAATCATCACAACAAGTGTGGTGAATTGATGCATGGTGATGAAGATCAATTATCAGATGATGAAGGTTACTCCCAACTTGGTGAAAAGAAGAAGAGATTGAGTTTAGAACAAGTGAAGGCACTTGAGAAGAGTTTTGAGATTGGAAACAAACTTGAACCTGAGAGAAAAATGCAATTAGCAAAAGCTTTGGGATTACAACCTAGACAAGTAGCTATATGGTTTCAAAATAGAAGAGCAAGGTGGAAAACAAAGCAACTTGAGAAAGAATATGAAGTTCTTAAGAAGCAATTTGAATCCCTTAAAGCTGATAATGATGCTCTTAAGGCTCAAAACAACAAATTACATGCAGAGGTAATTAATTACTAATTAATTACTAATTTATGCTAATAATAGTACTAATACTATTTAGTTAGCTTAATTAAATCTTTAAAATTTTTGAATACTTTGCATCTATAGTTTCTTTTTCTTGATTAGACTATTGAGTGAAAAAAAGAAGAACTTTAATTAAGATGGATGTTAGAGGTTAAAATGAATTGAATTAATTTGATATGTCTTTATCTTGATTCAAAATATAATCTTTAAATAGTTAAAATGTTTTCAATGTTCATGAAAAAGATAGATTGTGACTTGACTACAATATCCAAATTTGTATTATTGAAGATGATTCATATATTGGAAATAAAAGAGAAGAAAATTTTCTCATTTTGGTTTATTTATTTATTTATTTTACAAATTCTTATGTCTTTTACTCTTGATATGGACTTTGATTTGATGGGTTTTTGTGAATGGATTACATCAATGAAAAACAAGTTTTCCTACCATTAAAGGGTTTAATTATTTGGTCTTTTTAATGCTCTTCCATGTCTCTAATAATGTATAATTGACATACATTTTCATATTTGAAGGGGAAAAATGATTTTTTTTTTAAATTTGATATTTCTTTTATGCTAAAGGTTTTTTTTATAGTTATTTTAAAGTTATTAAATAATTAATATATCTAATATATTTATATGAACGAAATACATTAATTATATACTAAATTTAAAAAATAATTGTTTGTATAATATCATAATCAAAGGGGTAAATATTAATGACTCCTTTAGTAGTAACTTTTTATTATTTTATTATTTATTCTTAAATGAGTTTTTTACTTTTCCATTTTATTTTTAGTTTTGGTGTTTCTGGCACATTTACTTAAAAAATAAAGTTTCATTAATTTAGTTAGGATTCCACATGGTCTTTAAGACTTTTTAAAGTAATTGATTTTGTCATTAACTTTCTGCTACCTTGATTGTTAGTTGATCATTCATAGGAATAGTCAGTGTGTCAGAATCCAGAACTGCAAATTAATAGTGATATGTTTAATTTTTCTTTTTCTATTGAGTACTGTTTTATATAACTATTCCATGTTATGAAAAGGACAAGCTAGCTTTTCATCATCTGATTATTACTTAGTTGTCCACATGGTTGCATATGAAGCTCTAATCTAATCAATATCTAAATATATATATATATATATGACCTGTGAGATCTATCAAAATCTATATGTATACATACATTATACATAGCATCAAGTTAAGTTTAAAATCTAAGTAGAAGTTTATGATTATAAATACCATTTATATGATACATATATAAATGAGGACCTTACTATATATGCTATTTGCAGTTACAAACTCTAAAGAAAAAGGATTGCTTTGAAAATGGAAAAGCTAGTCTCAAAAAAGAAAATGAAGGTTCATGGAGTAATGGAAGTGATAACAGTTCAGATATGAATTTAGATCTTTCTAGAACACCAATGATGAGTAGTCCTGTTTCTTCACAAAATGGTAAAAGTCTTATGCAAACTTCCCTTAAGCCTACAAGCATGACACAACTCCTTCATTGCTCAACAAGATCTGATCTTCAAGATGAAAGCTTTTGCAACATGTTTCACAACATTGATGAGCAACAAAGTTTATGGCCATGGCCTGATCAGCAGCCGCACCATTTCCATTAAAATAAATATTTTTATCCGACGCTGAACCGAAAAAAATTTCATCTGTATCTGTATCTGCATTAATGTGAACATCAATGAATATTTAGAAATCTGTACTTTTAGAATTCGAAGTTCTTTACATTCACGTAATCGAAACATCAATGTATGCTCATACACGGTATGAATTATAATATGGTATTTTAATTATAAAATAAAAATTTATATTTTTATTGAAGTGTCCGATATTAATCAAACTGTTATTAATGTGTCCATTACGAGAATGTAAGATCAAAGCTCAAAATATTTTAGAGTTAAAATGAAGAGAAAGTTCAACTTTTTTTTTTGTCAACTTTTTCCTTTTATTTTTTCAATTTATGTTGGTGTAGATTGATGTATAAAGTTGAGACAAATCTATTTGAGTCATGAAGAGGTGATGAACTTTTGAGTAGTGCAACTTCTTTTCCAATGCACTATTTTATTTTATTTTCAAAATAATATTAAATTTATGTTTGGTTGAGGTAAAATATTTATAAATCATACACTTATTATTTATGTCCCTCTATAGTGGATTTCCAGCTCGGTCACATATACTATGGTCCACATAATAAAAATTGGATTCTCTGATTTCATTCTTTTAAGTACATATTTTATATCATGTTGGTGCATTGGAATCATATCATATCATGGAAAATTGCATGGAAAAAAAGTAATTTTTTGAAGAAAGTTCATCTAACTTTAGAGGTATGTCATTTTATAGGTTGAAAGAAAGAACCAAACATAGCTAGCTTAGAGTTTAAAGTGGTGGGGTTTGAAGTAGTAGGATTTGAGCACACAAACCAACAAGAGAATTTTAAAAAGAATCACAAGTTTGTAATAATATAATCAATAAATAAGTAAATTGCATTTCAAAGTGCAAGACTTAAAAAAAAGATATTTTAATTTTTTTTCACAATCAGTTTAATCTGATTCGGAGTCGTTTTAATATCAAATAATTTTAATTTTTTTCCGATCGTAATTGTGAAAATTTTAATTATAATCTTTTACTTACTTTATGTTAATTATTATTAGATTAATTGAAAAAAATTAATATTAACAGTTAAAAACTTTCGTATATTCGTGAATTTAAATTCACTCTAATCATATTAATTTATGTCAGTTGAATTAAAATTTGTGGACGAAAATTTAAAAATTTTTAATAGTATTTGATGTCAAAACTTTAATAGTATTGATGCAGAAACTGATGGAAAATTTTACCAATTTTAATCTGACAAGAGAAACTACTTGCCTCAGTATCTTGAAGAAGATACATGTGATTCTACCGCAAAAGAAAATGGCTCTCTTTCTCTCTCTTTCTCTCTCTCTCTCTTATCTATGCTTTGCATTCTAAAGTATGTCTCTATCAAAAAAAGTTGATGTAGAATATGTTTGCTTAAAATAGTTCTAGTATATTATACTCGTCCTAGTTTTTATTGTTTGAATAGATTATTGAAGTGTATTTTTTAAGATTTTCATATTTTTTTAAAAGAATAATTAATTATGTTAATTTTAATAATAAAAGGAGTCTCATTTATTAAAATAATCTTATTAATAATAAATAAAAGAATAATTATATTTATTAAAATATAATAAATAAAAGTAAATTAATAAAATAAATAAATATTATATTAATATTATAAATGAATAAATGATTTTGAAACGAATAAAAATAGAAAAAAAAACATCTATTAAAGACTGAGTAAGTGGTTGCCACGCGATGCTACATTTAGTCGAGTTTTTTTTCCAGAATATTGTCGATCACTGGGTTAATCGGGACGTTGATAATACCTGAAGGAAGAATGTAGACTCTAGGAACCTTTTATAACCTTGTTCGGCAGGTAATAAACTATTAGTCTGTACCTTGTTGGGCAGTACCTTTAACTTCATGCTCGTGACGTTGAACCTATGAACCCACCATGTTTGTGATCTTGTGTGTGATTATTGTATCATGCATTCATGTATTCATGAGCATTCTTTAAAACAGTTGACTTAAGGAATTTAAATTTGACTTTTCCAAATATCTCAGGTGCTTTTTGACAATGGATTCTAGAAAAAGAAAGAATCAGAAGTACAGTTTCAATGATCCTAAGATAGAGGAATTGATGAGTTTAATTCTTGAGATTGAGAGCTCTACAAATTTTTGGAAGAAGTATGGATCTGTCGTGCCTCTTATGAAGCTCCAGATGAAGGAGGGTATTCTTTCTATAGTGGTTAAGTTCTATGATCCATTGTGTCGATGTTTTACTTTCTCTGATTATCAGCTGATGCCCACATTGGAAAAGTATTGTTACTTACTTGGTTTACCTATTGATCGTGTTCCTTTCACTGGCTTAGAAGGAGAGTTTAAGTCTCACGCAATTGCTGCAATAACTCATTTGAAGAAGTATGAGATTGAGGCTAACATGACTACCAAAGGAGGAATCAGGAACTTACCTGCTCGGTTTTTATTGGAAAAAGCTTGTTATTTTTCCAAGTTGAAGAGTAAAGTTGCTTTTGAGGCTATCTTTGCTTTGCTTACCTATGGGTTGTTCTTGTTTCCTAATATCGACAAATTTGTGGATGTTAATGCCATTAGGATCTTTCTGATTGGGAATTCAATCCCTACATTGCTAGTAGATACTTATTATTTCATCCATCTTCAAAATTTCTATAAGGGAGGAATGATCATTTGTTGCACACCGTTGTTATATCAGTGGTTTATTTCTCACTTACCTCAGGCTATTGCTTTTTGGGATACCAAGAAGGAGCCTCGTTGGGCCCCAAAGATTATGGATCTCACTCATTCTGACATTTTTTGGTATCATCAGGCTTATTATGATGTGGATATTATTGATAGTTGTGGTAGTTTCCCTAATGTGCCTCTTCGGGGTACAAAGGGAGGGATTAATTACAATCTCGTTCTCGCGCATCGTCAACTTGGATATCCATTGAGAGACAAGCCAAACAACATTCATCTGAGTGATTTCTTTCTCAAAGAAGGAGAAGATCATAAGGAAGCTAAGAAAGAGATTGAGAAGGCTTGGCGCCATATTCATAGATAAGGTATAAAAATTTTGGGACCAAGAAGAGTTGTTTCCTTGGAGCCTCAGCTCTGTTGGATACAAGCAAGAGCAATTCAGTTGAAGATGTCCTATTCTCGTGAAGAACCTATACCTGATCTGTTCATGAGGACTACCCCTCCTCTCTTAGATGATGTGAAATAACTTTACCTTGCCCTGGTTAGGATGCAGCAAGAGAAGGAAGCATGGAAGAACAAGTACCAGACTTTGGAGGTGTCCTTCTCAACAAAATTGAAATAGAAGGATGGCTTGAATGAGATTATCGAGAGTCGTGCTATGGAGATGATGGAGAAGCAAGAGGATTTATTTTCCTCTAGAGTTCAACCAGGTCCCGGTCACTCATTTTCTGATTCTGATAAGTGGAAAGAAGTCGCCGACAAGTATGTAGAAGAGAATAGGAAGTTGAAGGTTCAGATTGCGAGACTTAAGGGAAAGCAGCAATATATGGAGAGATCTTCATCATCTTTGGCTCCTTAGGATTTTTAAATTCTATCTTTATTCTCTTGTGCTTAGGATTATTGAAACTTGTATTAAAAGTTGTAATCTAGTCCGAAGTTATTATTAAAATAAAATTTTCAGTATTTCCAAATGTGTTAGTACTTTAATATTTGCAATTGTCTATAATTCTTTGAGTTCCTTGAATAAACACAATAAATCACATGCATTGCATATCATGCATCATTTTACATATATTTTTTTCATTCATGTCCATACTCAGGTGTCTTACCATGTTTCTCTGCTTCAACAATCAACAAGTTGTCTCATCGCTACAATACTCAGGCTAATTCCAAGAAGAAGATGGAAAATCTTGAACAAGAGAATCGCGAGCTGCATGAAGAAGTTACTACTTTGAGGGCTGGTATGGCCAATCTGGCTGCTTTGGTGGAATTATTGGTTGTTACTCAAAATCAGCCACCACCTCCTCTTTCGTTTCCTCATGCTGGTCAGCCACAATAGACGACTCTTACTTCAGAAGTTCCGATAGTTCCCATCTATGTTACTCCAGTTACTGCTGCTCAACACCGTATGCCTCAAGGTTACGCATGGGGAATGCCTGAGAACTTCATGCCAGAAGGTTACAATCCTGCTGCTCAAGTTGCTCCATTTGCTCAAACTGCTATTTTTTCTGCACCTCCTGTGGTACATGCTACTCTTGTTGCCAATAATGAGATCCATCATATTGCGCCTCCTACAGTGAATGTTATGCATGTTATCAATGATGAAGTTTATCATCATGTTCCTTCACCAAGTGAGAGCTTGGGCTTCTATGATCGATTAGATGACTTTCAGAATCAATTCAATGAAATATAGAAAGAAGTGAATGATCTATGAGGAAAATAGTTATTCGGACAGAATGTCAGTGACCTCTAATTAGTTCCTAATTTGAAAGTTCCAGCAAAGTTTAAGGTGCCAATATTTGAGAAGTACAAGGGAAACTCTTGTCCCCGTGATCACTTAGTAATGTATATCAGAAGGATGTCCACTCATACTGATGACCAATGTAACACCCTGATTTAATTAGGATTATTTTTATTTAAAACAATTATATGAGATTATGTGTTTACTTGTGTTGACATATTTTATCATGTAATGTGATGCAATTCGGAAAATTAGAGGTTGAAGTGTTGAGGGGTGTATGACTAGAAGTGTAGAGAACAAGGGGTGAATATAGAATATTAGTAATATTATTATTATTATTATATTAATTGTTATTAATTATTATGAATAAAATAGTTTTTATAATATTTATAATTAAATATGTAATTAAGTTGAGGAAGGACATTTTTGGAATATAGACATTAGGGGTCTAGAGGTCGATATAAGAAAACAAATGTGAGAACACGACAGATAAATCGTAGAAGGAGAAAAGGCAAGGAGAAGGGAAAAGCTAGGGCAAATAGGAATCCACAATATTGGGAAGAACAA